CTGGGATCATCCGGCGAGAAGCAAACCCGCCCCCATGGGTAGGATGCAAAGAAAGACCGCATTCCGTCCCAATCCGCCGACCTGCAATGCCAAACACGGCGGCAACCTGCAGAACGCAACCGCGAAGGGAGCGTGAGTGGCACCACACTCCGGATCAGACAATGGTCCGAAGAGCCGAGAGGGGCATTGACGGAAACCTGATATCCGTCCGGATGAGAGGTCAGCAGAAGGTCCACCAGGGAAGGTGTATGATCCTCCACATCTGGAATCCGCGTAGGCGAAGTAACCAGTTGTGTTAGACCATATGCCAAGGCAAAGTCATAAACAGATCTCCCCGCATGATCGGTTAGGAGGAAACCTGCGTCTCGGTCAGAAAGAGCAAGGCTGGCTTAGCCGTCTCGAGATGGTAGTGGACGGCGTTTAGGTTAGAGTGAAGTCCCCTGATGTTGCAGAAATTCACGGATAGCGTGGCAGGGGTCGCCTTGGTATTGTTGCTCAGTTTGCCCCGAGCAGTTATGTTTTTGAGCGGAATTTTGCCCCCCCCCCCCCCCCAGAATACTCGAGGCAGCCTGAGCACCCACGCTCAGGATTGGAATAACATGGTCGTGGATGCTCAGCGAGGGATTCTCCAGGGGTACTGGTACCCTCCTGGGGTAGTCTATCGTGCAATTCCGCTACCATGTTGATGGGGGGGGGGGGGGGTATTGGGCCTCCGGCCACCTACACTCACCAGACGAAACGCAGAAGCAGAGCCTCTACTTCACGCCGGTATTCTGTGAGGTCGTGGTACCAACCCGGTTCGAGCCGGCCCATACGTGCAACAGCAAAAACTGCTGCGTGGCTCTACTACCGTACAAATATATCTGGTCTCAATGTCGCTGAGAGTTCTACTGGCGTAGGCAATGGGCTTATCGGATCCTATTGCCCCCTGCGATAAGACCGCACCTAAAGCAACAGTAGAAGCATCTGTAGTGAAAACATAAGGTTTGTCTGGGTCTGGGTATTGGAGTAAAGGTGCATTAGTCAGAAGCTCCTTATACTTCTGAAATGCATCAATGTATTTTTGATCTATTACAATTTTATTTCTTTTCTTTAGGCATGCTGTAAGGGGCTGAGAGATTTTGGCGAAGTCTTTTACAAAGCGTCTGTAATAACCAATCAATCCTAGGAAACTCTTGATTTTGGTAGTCGTCCTTGGTAACGGGTAGCTTAATACAGCCTGAATCTTATCATCGTTTGGTTTAAGTCCGTCTTTAGTAATAACGTGCCCTAGGTATAACACTTCTTTTCTCAAGAATTCTGATTTGTCGAGTTGTATTTTTAAATTAGTCGATCTCAATCGGTCAAAAACAGTCCTTAATTTTTGTAAATGCTCCTGGAGGCTACTCGAGAAAATAATTATGTCATCAAGATAGACAAGGCAATGAATTCCTTGTAAGCATCTTAGGATGTTATTCATGGCTCTTTGGAAGGTGGCTGGAGCTGTCTTCAGGCCAAAGAGCATTCGAAGGAATTCATAGTGTCCGTTCTCTGTGCTGAATTCCGTTTTTTGTCTATCTGATTCGTTGATCTCAATTTGGTGGTATCCACTAGCTAAGTCCAAGGTTGAAAAGTAAATACTCTTACCTAGTTTGTCAAAAATGTCAGTGATGTTGGGTAAAGGGTACTTATCGTCCACAGTTATGTCGTTTAGACGTCTGTAATCGATAACTTCATTTCATCCCAATCCTATACTTCACCAGATGCGTCTCTCTTTTTGGGAACTAAATGGACTGGGGCTGACCAAGGGGAAAAGGATTCCTGAATCACATTATCATTTAATAGTTTCTGTACCTGGTTTTTAATTTCATGTGTTTGAGCGGGAGGTTGCCTATAGGGTTTGATATAGATAGGGTCTTCGTTTTTTGTTCTAATATAGTGTTTCACTTCATTAGCAAAAGATAAAGGTATTTGATCGCTATAAAAAATATCTTTATATTCTCTACATAAGTGGTATATCGATTTTTTTTCTTCTTCCGACATGTGGTCTAAGCGTAATTTCTCTAAATTTTGCTCTAATATTTTATCTACTTCAATGTCTGATATATCTGTAATATGATTAACTACAAATTTAGTCGCTTTACTCTCTTCATATGATTCTTCATTCAATGGTTTTTTAATAGTTAATTTTATCGGTATATCTAAGGTATTCTGGATTACTGTAGTCGTATAACCATCCTTACATCTCACTAACGCACTAGGCATTCGCACACCCTTACAGAATTCTTTATAATCGATTACAGCATTACCTGAATATAAATTTGTTGGGAGTTTGACTCTCTGCTCGGAACGGGAAGATAACTCCAAAACGTAAGAAGATTTACTATGTGTTATAGGTATTACGGTAGTTTTAGTTTTAAGAATCTCGTTTTTTAAATCTATTACTGCTTCTAGGTTGCAAAGTATATCATTCCCAATTAAGCCATCGTAACTAGAGTCGACATTGTAAATGTATAGTTTATGAATATCGTTACAGTCGAAAATTGGTAAAGACGGGATTTGAATAACTTGATCATGTCTGCTCGATGCATGTGTGCTAATTACTTCGAATGGTTCGTGACTTATGTACTCTGGAAAGTACTTATAAGCTTTTGATGGACTAATGAATGATCGCGTACTACCTGTATCAATCATAAATTTGGAGTCGATTTCCGGTATATAAATAAAAAGCAATCTCAAATTAGTACTACAATTTAACTCTATTTTTTCGTAGGTTCCGAGGCTTCGACTTGAAAATCCTTGTCGTCCATATTGGTTGGGACGCTATGCGTTACTTCAGGAATTATTGTCGGATATTCATTTTCATAATAATCGAGCTCGGGAACATTAAGGCCACTGCTTGAGTACTCCTCATAGCAGCAGTTATTATAAGAAATTGGGTACACATCGCAGCACGCACCATCGTAATACGTATTATCAAGGTTGAGTTCATTTAACTGAAAGCCTTGTTCATTTGTTTTAAGTGGTGGTGCCGTTCGTATTGTGAGGTCACTGAGCCCAGTGTGTTGATTTTTATTTAACTGAGGCTTGTAACCAAATTGTTGGGGCTTATAAAAGTTTTGTTGTTGGTTTCCAAATTGTTGTGGTTGTATTCCGAACTGTTGGGGACGCATATTAAATTGTTCTGGGCGCATATTAAACTGTTGCGGGCTTATACTATTGTTGCGGCCGGAAGCCGAATTGTTGGGGGCGGTATCCAAAATTTTGTTGATTATTATTAAATTGAGTTAATTTTGATTGTGACCCCTGCGGAAGTCCAAAGTTAAATTTGTTAGGGGTTAATTCGGGTTTATAGCCCATCGGTGCCATGGAATTAAAATTACTTGTACCGAATTTAAACGTAGGATTATTATTTGGTAAACTGAGTGGCGTTGGTTTATTACTAGGATTACTATACATTTTATTACTCAAGTTATACTGCTCATGGAAGTTGACTTCTTCCATGACCACGCTTAAAGCCTCTTCTAGTGTACTGGGCGCTTTTAAGCGAACAATTCGCACTATATTTTCTGGCAAATTATACAAAAAGACATTTAAAGATGTGTTATTATATATAATAATTTTGCTACTCTTTACATTCAGATCGGTTAATCTATTTACTTTCGATATTAAAACACTACGAACGGATTGGATCCTATTATAGAAATCTAAATATGACTCGTCGTTTCGGATACGCAAACCTTCAAGTTCTATAGCAATACATTCATCACTCCTAGGGTCTCCAGAATATTGAATTAGCAGTTCTCTAAAATCTTCCCAAGAATTAATGTCCTCGCGCTCGCTAAAGAGCGCTGCAGCGTCGCCTACGAGTCTACTTGTTATCGCGTACATTACGTATAAATTTTGTTCATCGGATCCCCTATATTTATTTAATATATACTTACTCACATTTGCAAATAAAAAGATTTAATTGGTGCTTATCACCGTTGAATATCGGTACAATTTTGAGCATTTCATTAATCTTCGATTTTGTAGAACTTTATTTTATAAAATACGGCGATAAAATAATATAATTAATACAAGAATTCAAATTCACAATCAAAAACACAGTCAAAATAAAAGTAAAATAATTAATAAGTAAAATACAAAAAATGAAATAAATAAGTCCTCAATAAAATTTTTATCAACGAACATACACTACAATTATAATTTGTAATAGTTATAATCGCTTTGTTCCCACAGTGCAAGCTCTTATCGCGTCGTTATTGCATGGACGCGCTTAGTTATCTAGTTATTCCTAGTATTTCTTTATGCAGTTAGTTATTAAGTTTAAGTATTCTTAAATATAAGTTTCACAGATTTTTATGTAAAACCAGATAACGTTATATCGCAAGAGGTCTAATTGCAAAATAACAAAACTATATAATATGGCAAGGAAAGAAAGCTGAAAATTTGGACATACCAGCCGGCCTTCGTCATCTTCAGCTGCTCTCCACTTGACAAATTTATATTGGTTCGCAGGATCGCCTCGCGGCACGAACGCGGTAAACGATTTTGTACGAATTTATTTCGCGGACGGCGCAAGCAAATGGCGATCCTACCGGCTGCACCAGTCAAGTTAACGGGACCGGTGGAGGCGTTTTTAAAAACTAAAATAAAACTAAGAGATGTCCGTACAGAAGCTCATGTACTTCAACAATGGCAAACTTATTCTAATACATCTTTCATGCAGACGTTATTACATTTGCTTACTCAAGTGACGTGATATAGGCCACACACAGGGTGTAAAGTCAGCAATAGCATTTATGCACGTACTTGTATCACTCTGTGTGGGGTCGAATTCATGACTAGGTTCAATATGATGTTATAGGCTCTCCATGTTGTTGTTTTGAGGTTAATAAAAAGCACGTTTTATGTTCAAAGTATTATATCTTTAATTATCCCCATAATCCTTAACAGGGTTATGGGCCCAGTACGGCCATCAGTTTTATAGTGGATTAATAAGTGTTAAAGGACAGAAAATGTCAAAAGAAAAATATCAGATTGTCCCTTTCGCGGGGGACAATTACAACGCATGGGAGTTTCGATTAAAAAGTATCCTGCGGGATAATGGGGCAATAGAGGCGATCGAAAAGGAGGATTTCAGTAAATCTACGGATAAAAAGCAATTGCAATTGGAAGCTAAGGTCCAGGCTATCATAATAGCGGCAACCGCCGACAGTCACCTCGAATACTTAAAGGACAGATCTGCTTATCAAATGATTAAAAGCATGGAAGACAGCTTTAAGAAGAAAGGTACACGATCTAAATTATTTATAAGAAAAGAGTTGTCCGATATGAAATTCGACGAACGGAAACCTTTAATGGAACATTTTATTGACATGGAAAAGCTATTTGCACAACTCGGGGATGCTGGCAGTGAGCTCTCGGAGGAAGAAAAGGTTAACTATTTACTCCTATCCATGCCGAAATCTTATGACGGCATTATCACGGCTTTGGAAACTGTGGAGGAATTGAAAATGGACTTCGTGAAAAACAGACTGCTTGGGGAAGAGGAAAAACGGAACAGAGGAGCGACCAAATCCCTTGACTCTTCAATCTACTTGTGTTATGGATGTGGACGCCCCGGACACAAAAAATCCCAGTGTAGGAGCACTCAGCAGGCATGACACAGAACTGGCGACTGGAGACTTCACGGCCGTGGACGTAGCGACTGGAAGTACAACGGAGGCCGAGACGACAGTAAGGCAACTCGTTATCAGACCCAGGGGAGAGGTAGAGGAAAGTCATTTCTTACAGGCACTGAAAATACTGAAGGTAACAAATTTGTAAGTTTTATATCCTTTAGCCCTGACACCGAACAGCAGAATAAAAAATGTTTTAAATGGGTTGTTGACTCAAGTAGTTCATTTCATCTTGTAAATGACATTAGTTTATTCTTTAATTATTGTAAACTGGATAAGCCAATTAAAATAAACATGATTTAATCATCACTGGGGACACAAATATAAATATAATGGAAAACAGCAGCATCGTGGAAAAGTATAAAAACATGTTATGTGAACGAGGACTGCAATGCGTTATCAATGAATATACAAGAGAAGAAGTGTACGCCGGTGTTTTAACTGCGTCATGTATCGATCATGTGTGGGTGCGCAGCCGTGCGCGCGCTAACGCACACATGCTCACGTGTAAGTTGTCGGATCACTATATGGTAGGAGTTAATTTAGCGTTCGATGCACACGAAACGAAGTGCGATAGTGATAATTATACGAATGTTTTAAACGATAAATTAGTTAAAGAAAAATTAAAAAAGATAAATTGGAATAATTTATTAATACTTAACTGCCCGTTATTACTTTACGACAGGTTACGTATTTTGTTACGTAAAATATTTATGAGGAGTCCACAATAGCTATAAAATTAAGCAAAAATAAACGAGTAGCACAGCCGTGGATTAATCATACATTAAAAATGATGATAGACCGAAGAGATTATTTGTTTAGGAAGTGGCGGGCTAATCCCAAAAATATGAATTATAGGTTAGAATACACGCGGCACAGAAACAGAACAAATAAATTAATAAATTTAGCAAAAAAACAAAACTAGGAAAAACGAAATTTTGAATTGTAAAGGAGAATGTAGGAAGATCTGGGCAACTATCAATGGTTGGATAGGAAAAAATAATAACAATTTAGATACGGTTATTATGAAATATTTAGGTAAGACAGATACAGTGACTAATATATGCTCAAATTTCGCTAAATCATTTACGGAGGAAATTGATAAAATAAAACATTACTGTGACTGTAAATTTATTGATCGTACCACTTATGTGGATCCGAGTAACGTTTCTTTCCGTTACCAAGAAGTTTCATCTAACGAAATTGAAAAAATTATAGATAAATTAGGCCATAATAAATCACCGGGTGTAGATGAAATAAGAGTAAAAGATTTAAAGTATGTAAAGAAAGAGATCAGTCCATTGCTTGCTAAATTTGTGAATATGTGTGTAAAAAGCGGTGTATATCCAAATTACTTAAAAAATGCAATTATTCGTCCAATATTTAAACAAGGTAATCATTTAGAATATTCAAATTACAGGCCCATTGCTATATTGTCAGTCATAAATAAAGTAGTTGAAAAAATAATAGTTAAGCAAATTAGTATGTTTCTGGAAAAAAATCATATAATATCTAACGCACAGCATGGGTTTAGAAAAACGTACAGTACATCTACAGCACTAGCACGATTTACCGATGATGTTAACGATGAACTAAATAGTAAAAAGTATGTCATTGTATTGTTCATTGATTTTAAAAAAGCGTTCGATACGTTGGATCACGAAATGCTTCTTGAAGCAATGCAAGAGTGTGGGATTAGAGGTCCAATGAACAAATGGTTCCGAAATTACTTGAAGAACCGAACACTACGCACTATGATCAATGGTACTATTGGGGAAGAAGCTGATGTAACACTGGGTGTGCCAACCGGCTCCGTATTCGGACCTGTCGGGTACATCATGCACGTGAATAGCATTAATAACGTTGTAAAACATTGTTCCACCTATATGTACGCCGATGACACGTGCCTAATGTACGCCGACAGGGACGTTAAAGTTATAGAGGAGAGGGTGCAGGATGATTTCATTAGTATACTAAAATGGGCACATGATAACGGCATTATACTTAACATATCCAAGACAAAGTGTATGTTTCTACAATCTCCATATATGAGAAAACCTAGTGAAGAAATAAATATCTTTGGTCATTCGTACGAGTGCTTACATAATAAATTGGAACAATGCAAATGTACAACCATAGAATTTGTGAATAGTTACAAGTATTTAGGGCTAACAATAGACTGTAATTTTAGTTGGAAACTGCATATTAACATTGTATGTGATAGATTAAGATCCATATTATCTAGGCTTAATAACTTAAAACATATAGTTAGCAGGTCAATCTTAAAAATGCTTTATTATGCACTAGCCGATTCAACCCTGAGTTACGGACTAATTGCATATGGACGTACTTTTGAAACATATACAGATAAAATTCTTAAGCTACAAGTTAGGTTAATAAAATTGTTTATTGATAAAAAAACAAAAGAAAAATATAACATTGACGGAAACTATAATAATTTATTTAAAAATTTTAGAATATTACCTATACATGTAAAACTTAAGTACTTAATTGCAATAGATCAATTTAAATCTCTAGAGTTTAAAACAGTTCGGACATTTAGCAAAAATATTAGAATTACTTCTCGAAAGAAATACGTTGAGCATTTGAGGGTTAACAATTATTACGGCAAGAGGACGAGAAAATATCTAGTACCACGTATTTTTAACGAGATATTATTTGAAGACGAATGTAAAAATAAAGAAAAATTTAAAAGGAAGTTGAAAGCGTGGTTGCTAGATACGTGTTAATACTATACGAGTAGTCTTAATTAATAGTTAAATGTGAAATTATTAATAAGTTTAAATATGTGTAAGTTTAAATATAATTAAGTATATGGATAGTACTGCTAAGTTTAAATTTAATTTTTCTATTTTTTTGTTATTTTTTTTTCTTCTATTTTAAGTTGTACTCGTAAGTTAAGATTAAGTTATTAATTACAGTAGGTACATAGAATGTAAGTGGGTGATGTATTCGCCAACAAACTGCCCTGCAGTTTGGCGAAAGTAGTGTAAGAAATAACCGAATGTATTTTTGTATAATAAATAAATAAAAAATGAATCGTACTCTGACTTCTTAAAGAGCTTTGGGGCGAGGCCCTGCGATATGCGGTATATGTCACTAATCGTAGTCCCACTGCTTCCCTCAATGTTACACCATTTGAAATGTTGGAGGGAATACGTCCTAATGTGTCTAATTTTAGAATATTTGGGTCATTTGCATATGCCCATATTCCCCAAAAACTCCGAATGAAGTTGACCCTCGTGGTGTGAAATTGAAAATGGTTGGGTATGCTCCGGGGGGATACAGATTATGGGATGCTAATGAAAGGAAGATACGCATAGAACGAAACGTATTGTTTAGGGAAGAAACATGTTCAGAGTCCCCTGAAACGATTAGTATTAACGTGGAGTCTATCTCGGATGGGAAGGAGAAGGATGGTGGTAGTAGTCCTGAGAAAACCAAAACCCCTTTAATTTCTGATAAAACTCAAACTGAGACACTGAGAAAATTTTAACTTCTGATAATAATTTAGAGTCATTACAACCTGAGGGAAGGGATACAGATAATGTTAATTCTAGGGAGAAAAGAAAGAAAACTAAACCAAAATATTTACAAGATTTTGTCACTGATGATTCAGATTTAGGTGATATATTAATGGCATCATTTTTATCTTGTTCTAATGGTAATGTCCCAGAAAAGTATAATGATATAGATTCTTATGACAATAAAGATAGGTGGTATGAAGCGGTAAATGAAGAAATTAAATCTTTAGAGGATAACAAGACTTGGGAAGTTGTAGAAAGATCAAACGATGCTAAGTTAATTGATTGTAGATGGATTTTTACAAAAAAGGCGGGTAATGTATATAAAGCTAGATTAGTTGCAAGGGGGTTTCAACAGGAAGGTAGTTTTACCGAAATTTATTCTCCCGTTTTGAAATTACAAACTCTCCGAGTTCTTTTATCATTAGCTGTTTAAAGGAACTATTTAATTCATCAAATGGATGTTAAAGGTACTTTCCTTCATGGTGAAATTGATGATGTTGTATACTTAAAGCCCCCACCTGGTGTAAATATAAATACAAATTGTCTTGAAATTAAAAAAATCACTTTACGGTCTTAAAAAATCTTCAAAAAATTGGTACAATAAATTTTATGATTTTATGAAAAGTAAAGGGTTTCAAAGAGCAAAAAGTGATTATTGTTTATATTTTAAGTATGATATTTACATTTTGTTGTATGTGGATGATTTATTAATTTTAGGTAAGGACAATTCAAGGATAAATAATGTTAAAGAAATTTTAAGCACAGAATTTAAAATAAAAGATCTAGGATCTAAAAATTTAAAATATCTGGGTATTAATATTATTCAAGATAGTGACTGTTTGTATATTAACCAGAAAGAGTATTTAAAATCTATATTGACAAAGTTTGGTATGTCTCAAGCAAATGCTAGTGAATCACCCATGGAAATTAATGTTAATCTTGATGATTGTACGGTTGATTACTCTTTAGAGCATAAATGCAGAGCTTGTATAGGTTCTTTAATGTATGCTGTAGTAGGTTCTAGACCTGATTTGTGTGCTGCTGTTTCATATTTAGCAAGATATCAATCTAGACCATCAGAAAGGTTATGGAAGTGCTTGAAAAGGATTTTAAGATACATTAAGGGTACCATTAATTATAATTTAAAATATAATAACAATTGTAATTCCGAACCACTAGTTGGATATGCTGATGCTAGTTTTGCTGTAGATAAAGATAGGAAATCTATAACTGGTTATGTATTTAAAGTATTTGATAACAGTGTTATTTGGCGTTGCAAAAAGCAGAGCACTGTAGCTTTAAGCACTACTGAGGCAGAGTTATACTCCCTCAATGAAGCCGCTCTGGAGGCTTGTTGGATTAGGAAATTATTAAATGAGTTAGACGTTAGTTGTAATACCACTACCATATATGAAGACAATAAAAGTACAATATTTT